CGTTCAAATAATAATGATCCCAAATTTGTTCTATGAGTACTCATTATAATTCCAGCATTGGAAAAAAGACGCTCACTGGGTGTAGACATAGCTTACATAGCCAAATATTCATGGACAAAAGAAGCTAAAACAGGAAAGTTATTTTTATGTGTAGCCCACCAAGTGCAAGCATCTGATTCTAAATCAATCTCATTAAGTTGAAAATAATTTTCAACTTCATTATTTTGAGAAAGCGAACAAAATTTTTTTTTAAGACATTTGGTAGATAATTCATTATCTAAGTTATATGGTTCAACAATATCTGTTAAATTTGTTAGTAGAGTTTGTTGAGAATCTTGAGTATACTTATTATATATATTTTTTAAGGTATTCATAACAAACTTGTGATCAAGAGAGTCTGCAAATTCAAGTTTTTTGTGATGTGGATCCAATAATGTATGTAGTAAATAATTATCAGCTGGAGAATTCTAATATGCTTCAAGAGCTTTGTACAATGCCACCTGTACTTTTCTTCCCAAATTATCACAGTTTTGTGGAACATTGATATTTATTTTATGATGTTTTGAAATTTCATGCTCTTCAACATCTTCATATTCAATCTCATTATCAAAGACCGTTTCTAAGTTTTCTAAGTTAACCAAATTTGGTGTATTATAAAATTGGCAACCTTCATCATATAAATCTTGCTTAATATCACCAGAATTGGATTAATAAATCCAATCATTGATGTTTTGCTTGCACCTAAATAAGTTGATGCTTCAGCAAATGGACAAAGAAGAATTACTAATTCTTTTAGTGTATCCTATTCTGAATCAGTAAGCATTATTTGATGAAGACATTTTGATTCTTTTCGTATTTGAGGGTCATTAGATTGTGCAATTGTTGCTTTTATCATATTTATTGTATTTTGTAAATGCAAAAGATGTTTCCATGCAAGGTATAAAGAATTCCACCTTGTTTCTGTATCCTGAATTACATGTAAATACTTATGATTTTTTTTAATTATCTAGAAAATTAATTTTAAAAAATTATTAATAAAGTAATTAAAAAAAAATCTCAAATATCTAAGTTCTGCAATGTTTAAAATTTAATATTGCATTAGGGTGAAAGGCATAAAATTCAGGCATGCCCAGGAGTATATTGTTAAACTCGAAAGAATTTGGTATTGTCAACCTATTATAAGTGCCAATATTGAGGAATATGCACTTATAGAGGTCTAAATCTGAATGATTTATATACAAGATTATTTTATAAATGATTAATTCACAGACAAGTTTTTATAAATTGTATAACTATATTATTAATTGTTGCAGCTGATGCTAGAAATGGCTGAAGCTAGAAATCAAGAACCCTGATTTAAAAATATAAACTCTGCCAAAATCCACTTATACTCTTTCATTATCAAAACTAATCCTAAATCCTAATCTAAACTATGAAAAAAAAGCTAAAAAAATGCTTCTCCAAAAAATTTGAAAATTTCATATTAAAATATTTAAAATTTTCAGCTTCAGCTGTTTTTAGCTTCAGCCGCAATATTAATTTTTTTATGAAATGAATTCATCTGTGAATTATTCATTTGTAAAATAATCTTGTCTATAAACTAGATTGTTTATAAAGTAATTATTTATAAAATGAATGATACCAATATTATATAAAGATAAATATGAATATATTTGGTGAAAATTGAAATATATTGTATAGTAACTTATCCAGATAATCTGAATAAAAGTTTTTCTACAGGTATAATTACTAGGTAAGAAGTATAAAGTTAAAGCTCTTAAGACATGAAAAGGAAGTGATATATTAGTTTAAAAAAAGGTATTATAAATTTATAAAATTATACTTATCTTAGATTAGAAAATATTCGAAGCGATTATTTATTAAGTAATTAATTAGGATCGAAGCTGAAATCTAAATCATGAAGCAATTAATTAATTATGTATATAGTATAAAATAGTATAGTAAAGTATAAGCATATCATATATAAAAAAGTATATAATTTATTTAAAAGTTAAAAGTAGTGTGATTGATTTGTAATATAATTAATAAGAGTTAATTAGGTATATATAAGGAAAGAAAAGATAATAAATATTAGTAAATATATTTTTTAGTTAATTGATCAAATAAAAATAAATTTACTTGACCTTGTTATTGCTCTTGATATTGGCCTAAGCAAAAGTTATTTGTATATATTATTAGAACTAGGCTTTTAGTGCAGGCTACTTATTTACCTGTAATATCAGGTTAAATAAACATGCATTTATAGAGAAAAAATTATGGCAAAGTGCTTTTTTTGAAGAAGCACTTATAGAAGTCGATTGTATATATAATTATAGAAGTATGCTTAGACAAGAAAGGCATATTTTTAGTCTAAAGTATAGTTGAAAAATTTTTGTGCCTCTCACCCTAGACTATAGAAAATTTTTAATACGAAAGACAATTATTTCTATATTATTACTATAAACTTATATAAAGAGGTTACTAAAATTCTAGTTAGAATGCATTAGAATTATGCCAGCAATATTAATTAGCAGAATCGATAGCTAGATATTTTTTTATTTAATCAATAGCAATAATCATGACTATTAGTAATAACTTACTATAATAAGTTACTATAATAAATTATCTGTAAGCTACTATAAAGAATATAAGGCATAGAAACTTTTGAGATTTTTCACTAGTAATTTATGATAATTTACTAGAAACTTATCATAAATTATTGCAATTTTACAATACTAGCAATAATTTTACTAGTAAATTTTTTAGTGAACCTAGCTGATTCGAATTCTAATGCATTTCAATCTAAAATTTTGAAAATCTCTTTGTATAAGCTATTACTATAAATATTGATTAGGATTTTGTACAATACAAAATAATTAATATACTAATATACCTTATTTTCCAAAATTAGTAATTTTCTTTGTGCATCTTCAAGTCTTTCTGACTGTTTTGGAGAAACAAAAAATGCAATAAGTCTTTTGATACGAGCTACAAGAGCTTGGGCAGGAATTAAACCTTTTCTGACAACTAATTGCAGTGTGTGAGCTGTGCATTTAATCTGACTAATTTCTTGTATTTCCAAAAATTCAAGAGCTTTAACTATGTTAATAGCATTATCTGTAGTAATTGCCTTTACT